GGGGGGGGGGGTGGAAAGGCATTCTAGATAGAAAGCTTGCATTGATGTTTTATATGAAGATTATTTTGTCTTTTAGGAGCCCAGTTCCAAAGAACATCCTGTAACCCACAAGTGTGAGAGCGCCTCTGAGCCACTTCATTATCCTTCCAACCAGCAGAGAAACCCGTTCAAGGTACTTGACAAGAATCAAGAACCGTCTCTCTGGAAACAGTTCACCAAAGGCGAAGGTGAGAAAAAGATGGCTGACAAGAGTCAAAAGGAAAAAGGAGATGTGTTCTTGGATCCAAAGAAGGAATGGAAGGCTGAATCCAACTGCTGGATGAAGAACGATCTCTCCTCTGGCCTGGAGGTAAAGAAAAAACAAGCTGCAGGTCAAGAGAAGCATGGAGTGGAGAAAGAGTTTCAGTATGAAGCAAAGGAGAGCAAAGGGACGCACAGAAGAGACCTTTCTGGGGTTGAATCCAAACAGGGCCACGGCGATGAGCTGAGAAAATCGTCCGGATCTCTTCAGGAGAAATCAAATGTTGAGAGTCATCATGTCCAAAAAACATCAGAGCCTCTGAGGGAAAAGGAACCCAAGCCTTTGCCTGGAATTACTCATGATCAGAACCCAACAATCAAGCCCCAGACAGGGGGCCGCCTCAACAAAGAGCACTCCAAGAGCCGGGAGGCTAGAGAAGCAAAGGCAGGGGGTGACCCAAGCACGCAGTCCGATCAGCACTCGGAGCCTCAGGATGTGCCTGCCCCACAAGGACCGTCCGCACAGTGCGCACCAGCCGCTGCGTTGCGCCCCCTGGGAGAGGGCCCAGAAGCGGGCTCCAGCCACGGTGACCGTGGGCAAGGTACTGCTGTTTGCCTGAAGCCTCCCTTGCTCTTTGACTTGACTCTGGACTCACAGAATGAGAACCGCCTTTCATTCCCTGGTCAGAGCGTGCAAAGAAACACATCTGCCACCTCAGGAGTTTCCAAGAAGGTAGAACCTTCAGACCCGGCAGCCCAACGTGTGTACCTCACGACACAACTGAAACAAAAGAAGGTAACTGCTGACCTGCCGTGTGCTTTATTTTTGTTTTTGTTTAAAAAAATTTTTTAAGTTTATTATTTTGAGAGAGAGAGAGAGAGAGCGCGAGCGTGTGTGCACCTGCTTAGCGGGGTAGGGGCAGAGAGAAGGAGAGACAGACTCCCAAGCAGGCTCCATGCCATCAGCACAGAACCTGATGTGGGGCTCAAACTCACAAACTGAGATCATGACCTTAGCTGAGATTTAGGAGACGCTTAACCGACTGCACCACCCAGATGCCACCCGTGTGCTTTGTTTCTAAGGTCAGAGCATTGCTTTCTGTGGGCCGCAAACCAGTCGGATAGGTTAATAGGACAAAGGTTTTGCAGGTGGTTAGTTTGTCTTTGCCTAGGCTTATATTTTCAGGGTCAGTAGATCAGCTGGGTTTAAAAAAACAAAAGCCCCCAAAAAACAAAAAAAAACATTGTTTTCACACATACACTTAATGGACCATAATTTCAGTTTTCACATTTTAGGGTACTTTAATTTGCAACTGTTTTTCTAACAACTGGAGAAGAGAGGATCTTATAGGAGGTGTTTTTCAGAGCACACTGAAATCCGTGAACCTCCAGGCTCTTCCAGACAAGGGTCAGAAGTTGCTTAAGCAGATCCGGGAGTTGGAGGAAGCCCTGGGAGCTCTTGCCCTCTCCCCAGAGCCAGGTGAGATGGGCTGCGCCCCAGAACTCAGGGTTTGTGTGAACTTTACAAGAGACATTCGAGAAGCCCTTTTGATAGAGAAGACACTGATTGATTCACCGCTCCTTTTGATGATCTACTTCTGAGCTTTTCAGAATTACACTTGTGATTTAGAAAAACTTCCTGCATTGCCTGTGGACTCCGCTCGTTCCCATTGGTTAAGAGACTTTCAATGCTGTGCCCTTGAGGTCTTCCCGGCTCATGGGAATAGAAGTGGTCCCACCCTCTCCTGACCTCCTCCCACACAGATAATTCCTTTGCTTTCCTCAACTGTAGTCTATTCTTTCCTTGTTTGGTTTTTGAACAGACACTAATGAGAAGAGTGACACTCAAGTACCACAGCAGAGAAACCTCACCAAAACTGCCACTGACCTCCCTCGCTTGGTGCCTCCCCTACCCCTGCATGATCAGGGACTGCAGCCTCTGGGTTCTCAAGGACTGAAGGCCGTCTGCCCGCTAGCTGCTGGGGGATCCAGCGGGTGCTATGGAGGTAAGATCCAAGGGCCTGGCCCTGCTGTGAATTGCTACACCTCCAAGTTCAATGCTGCCTAGCAGGTGTCTCTGTGCCCATGTGAAGAGAGAAGCCATTCTGGAATTGTGAATTGCCCCTGTAATAAAGACTGTGGTGCTCGCCGGGTTTCCACAGTGTTTAGGTTTCTGTGCCTGCCTTGTTCACGGGCCTTGATCAGTCAACGCAGTGGCCGGCACATGGGAATCATCTGGTAAATGTAAGTGAAAACTCAAACCCACGCCACCACGAGGTAGGCAGACCAGCGGGCACATTTGCACTCCTGTGTGCGTGTTAAGGTAGGGGAGAGGAGCGATGTGAGTCAAGCTGATGACCAAAGAGCCACCGAGGGCAGAGCCACCCTATTTAAATTAGTGCTTCTGTCCTAAACTTTCCAGAAAACAGTGATTCAGAAGTAACCGCAAATAACGATGCCATTAGAGCCTCAGATATGTCCTAAGATGGGTTGGTTTGCGGATCAGGAGTTGGGACCTGATGAGCTCACTGGTTAGGTGGGCTGGCAGCGACTGGAAAAGCCAAGGCCAGTTTTCTCCCAGCTGAGGACCTCTAGAGGGACAGAAAGAGAAAAGGAGAGACGCAAGGAAGCAGAAAGAGGAAGGAAGGGGAGAAAGTCGAGGAGCAGTAGTTAACAGAGGGTAAGAAATAGGCTCGGTGCCAGACGAGCTGAGGCTTGTCTAAGAGGGAACGGAAAATGCGTGTGTTTGAGTAGCAGGACAGTCCTGGCTGAGAGTACTGCTGTGAGAGCATCATTCAGTGAGCATGATGGTGACTGAGTCACCTGGACAAAAACGAAATTATGTTAGAGTCTTAAGGTGAGAAAGTATATAATACGTTTTGGAAAGCATTCCATTAAAATGGTTTATCGTTTAAAAATATTGTAACGTTTAAAAATATTGTAAACGTTAAAAATATTGTAACGTTTAGATGGTTAATTGCTTGCCGTTTATCTAGAAACCATATTTGGGACACCTCATCCCTGACACTGCAAACAGCTGAGGTGCGTGTCTAGCTGTTCCCTGTGGGACGAGGGAGCTAATACCGCCTGGCTCAGGGTGGTCAGCGTGTGACACGCATGTCAGGGGCTGTCTCCCTCTCTGCCCGAATTAATATCCACAGACTTCCACTAGCTCGGCCTTCCCTGTTGCTGACTTCCCTTCTTTGTCCAGCCCCGAGGATCTTTTCTTCCTGAAATAACAATGGCACTATTTTTTCCTCTGCCACCTCTCCGAAGCTGGGGGGAAAAAGAAACATCCAAAACATTACAAGTTACCTCTTTATTATCCTTTCTGTTATTTTGCTTTTTATTAGAATGTGTGATTAAACAGACAGAAAATGGGGATCGAGGGGCCTGGGAGGCCAGGAGAATCTAGAGGCAAGAATCTGTAGTCCGTGCAGATTGATTATCTGGCGAACCACGAATTGCCGGGGTGAAATATTTGTGACACCTTGAGTGAACGCCTGTTTGTCCCCAGGCCCTCCGAAACCAGATGGCCCTCACGCAGTGTGGAAAATCATAAGTAAAGCCATTGACGAGCTACATCAGTCACTGGAGTCGCGGCCTGCCGAGACAGCTTTGGCAGAGGATCCCCCCGGGCTGAAGGTGAGCCGGGGAAGATTCCTGGCACGGAGTGTCCCTGCACCCACAGACCCTGGGTCTCTGCCCAGCAGAGTGCCGTCCTGGTGGATCTTTCCTACGGATAACGCTTTCGCGGCTTCTCTTGTATTTTCTCCTCCTGCTAAGCAGTGAGGAAAAAAAAAATAGTTTTTTTTTCCCTAAAGCCATAAAATTATAGAAGTCTATAGCAGTAAAAGATCCGTTTACGGAGCTTCACTGGGTGCCACGAGGATGCGAAGGAATTGTGCTCTTAGGGAACTAGTTGGGGGGAGTGCACATGCAACAGATATAAGCCAGCCAGAAAATGATGCAAGAACAGAAGTACAGTGTGCATTGTAAGGGACCGCAGACAGTATGCAGCATACAGAGGAATCAAAATAAAGGAGAAGTCACTCTAGGTAAAGAGCTCTTCGTTGCCTGCCTATTCTGTGCCTTAAAGAAGTTGCAGGCTAAAGATTACCGAGAGGGTATAAGCCGAAGGCTCCGTCAGAGAGGAGATACGGGGCTCGATTATTAACAAGTGAAGAGCGAGGGCAGCAGGTGGCGCTACTGAGCGGGGCAGCCCTGGCCATGCAGCCTGGCATAGGGAAGCAGCTCAAGAGAAATGACGGAATCACTGTAGAATTTTGAGCGAGGCGTTTTCTGAAGATTGTTGTTGTGGCAGAGCACAGGATAAAGTGGAGTGAGAAAAGACTGGAAGGGGGTGTCAGTCACAGGGCTGTTGAAATTTAGGACTCACAGTGTAGATTAGGACATTGCCTACAGAGTGGAGACTCACGTTTAAAGGAAAATAAGGAAGAGCCATCGAAATGCCTTCGTCAGTGAAAGGAAGGTGGCCAGTCAGAGGTCTTGGCAGCAAGCAATAGAAACTGCCTGGCGATCAAAGCAGACACACCAAGACTCTCCCTTGAGGGGGTAGGGGACGCTCTTGATAGATGCTCTTGATAGACATGCTGGCTGGTGGTGCAAGTCTGTCCCAGGCACACCAGGACATATGGTCCCCCTAGGTCAGAGGCGGACTCGGGGACATCCGAGGAGCAGTGAGCAGCCCCGTGACAGCTAGGATATTGGGAGGATCACTTCCAGACACGAGAATCGGAGAGCATGGAGTCCGTGTAGTCCGGATCCAGCCCCTCATGAGGAATTTGTACTCAGCTTTTGATTCTTACCTCTATTAGGTCCCTTTGCTACTGCACCAGAAGCAGGCGTTGGCTTGGTTACTATGGCGAGAAAGTCAGAAGCCACATGGAGGAATTCTGGGTAAGTCTGACATTATGATAAGAGTCGACATATGTTTTGTAATTTTTTTCTCTCCTCTTCTCCCCTCCCCTCTCCCTTTCACAAGAGCACGTGTGAGCCAGAAAGGGGCAGATGGAGAGAGAGAATCTTGAGCAGACTCCACACTGAACACAGAGCCCGGTGTGGAGCTCAGTCTCACAACAATGAGATCATGACCTGAGCTGAAATCAAGAGTTGGACACCTAACCAACTGAGTCACCCAGAGATGCCCCCTCATTTGACCCTGTCACCAGCTCTGGGGTGGGCACTATGATCCCCCCTGTTTACAGATGAAGAAACTGAGGCGCAGGGTGGGAAAAGCAACATACTCAAGAGGTGAGGTCGTGGTAGCACACAGTAGAAGCTGACTGTGGCTCATTAAGCAGAAGGAGAGTTCATTCTCTGGTGGCACAGAGAGTGTCTGGGAGATGTGGAGAGCCAGGCTGGAGACCAGATATCTAGGAGCATGGCCAAAGCCAAGTAATAAACTCAGTGTCCTGTGGAAACTGTCATGGCTGCTTTGCTCAAGCACCAGAGGAGAGCATTGCCACCCTAGAGTCAGAGACTCCTGTCCCCACCCTTTCGTGCAGAAAGGATGTCACAGGGAACCTCATTTCTCACGTTGCTTACATCTGAGTTGAAATCTTACGTGAGTTGAGTGCATGTGATCTCCAGAGCCAGGTCACGCTGCCAGGGCCTTAGGTGCAGGGGACCCTAGAAAGTAAGTTTTCCAGGTCTGCTTTGGAGACTCCTCAAACTAAAATTTTCCAAGGGGTTCAGCTTCTAGAAAACATGACAGACGGCCATGATGGCTAGTAAGTGGCTGTGTTGGGGATCCTCAAGGTTCGATGATTTGCTAGGAGGATGCACAGCATGTGGTCGTACTCATGGCTGTGATTTGTTACAAAATAAAAAAAGTAGGAGCGCCTGGGTGGTTCAGTCAGTTAAGTGTCCAACTCTTGATTTCGGCTCAGGTCATGATCTCATAGGCTTGTGAGATCGAGTCCCGCATCAGGCTCTGCGCTGATGGGATTCTCTCTCTCTCTCCCTCTCTCTCTCTGCCCCTCCCCACTCTCTGTCTCTGTCAGAATAAAACAAACTTTAAATAAGTTAATTAATTAATTAAATTGATTTTGATTTGCTAGAAATCGAAGTCAGCAAAGGAAAAAGGCACATGGGGCAAAGCTCAGGGGATACCAGGTGCAAGCTTCCAGAGACCTTTCCCAGTGAAGTCACACAGGGTGAGCTGTGATGACACATGTAAGATGTTACCAAGCAGGGAAGTTTGGGCCCCAGGTGTTTACTAGGAACTGGCCACGATGGCAGCTTCCGGCCTGTTGGGTCCTGAAATTCCAGACTCCCAGAAGGAAAGCAGCTGTGCAGCATAAACCACATCATGGGGGCACAGTTTAGGCACAGTGAGCCGCTCTTACAAGGTCTGGGAACGGTGGGAACCCTGCTTGAATTCGTGTTCCCACACGCCAGCCCAGGGCCGACCTTGTCAGTGGGCCTTTCCCGGGATGGGGGTCAGATGTGTGGTGCTAACTCTGCATGGTAGCAGGGCCAGAATGCGAACCAGAACCCATGCTGTGACATTTTACTTCTGCTTATGTCAGAATGCTTATTGAAACTGTTCAGGTGAGGATGAGAATATTCTATAGGGTACAAACAATAAATTAGGTAAGTTCAGTGACTGGCACAATGACACCACCCAAGAAGTGTTCATTTATGGCGCTCTTTGATGAATAAATGAAGGGAATGGAGAAGGAGTGTTTTGAACGAACTCCATCTACTGGATCCTTTTGCTTTGGCGGAGTAAGAAATTAAAAAGACCAGGCAATACCACCAAACTGAGATAGATGTCCACGTATGCATCCGTTAAGTAACATTTCAGCATGCAGACTAGAATAAAATCTAAGTCCTAAGTTCTAAGTTTTGCAAAAGTCACAGTAAATGCCTTTGATCTAGATAGTAAACAGCAAGAGCTAGGGTTCATCTTCAAACACAAGGTGAAGGATTTGTCAGGCTTGGAAAGGACCTAGATCCACACCAGCAGCACAGCAAGGGCTGAGGTCTGCCAGTGGCTTCTCTCTTCAAGTGGAGGTGATGCTTTGCCCTAAGTAATGGACTGTCCGATTTTTGTTGTTTTCCAGCGGATGATATGGGATTAGGAAAAACTCTGACAATGATTGCACTCATCCTGACCCAGAAGAATCGGGAGAAAAACAAAGAAGAAGACAAAAACCTGGCATTGACCTGGCTTTCCAAAGATGGTATACAGATAGCCTGTTCTTTCCTAAGTGGACATTTTTAAGAGTAGACATTTTTAAGCTCTGAAAGAACACGTTTGGTCATACTTAATTCATCTATTGGAAAACTAGTGTTAGACTCATTCCTGTGCCGTCATTTCTGATGCTAGATCTGCTTAATTACAAGTGGTCATTTCTCCTTTTGCTATAAACTTAGCTTGACCTGTAATTAGAAAAAATTTTATAGAGAGCGCCAAGGCGCTGGAAGGGCTCTGATGATTATTTCTGTTAGGTACAAATTAGTTAATATATTGTTTTCTTAAGGAAGGTCTGTCACAACCTCAGATTTTAGCCACCATAGCAGAAGCTGTTTTCCAAGTGTTCTGAAATTCCAGAAGTTTCCAAATTCTAGACAATTTCTACCTTATCTCAACCTCTGTTTGAAAGTAAAATGTGCAAGTGCATTAAAGGTCCTACATGTAACATATTGGCATCACCACATCACGTGGAAGTTGCTAACATCCGCCAAGACAGTTGGTGGGTCAGTTGGTAGGACTGTTTTAAATCTGCCGTCCATTCTCAGGGCCTCTAATGAACACGGTCGCAGCCGGGTCCTGTGCCCCTGGGTTCATGCAAAGAGATGGGGGTGCGGGCAATGGTACAAATACTCCATCCCTAACCCATTCCAAAGCAAGCTTGGCTTTTCTGAGGGGTTTTGTACTTACATTATAATGTGGATGTAATTAAATTACACTTTTCAGAGAAAATAATACTCTCCTGTGACGAATCCACTCGGGACGAGATAGGAAATGATCCTACCTCTGCCTCCTCGCCACTGTGGAAGCATATTGTTTTTTCTAGACTGAGGCCACGTACTGTGTGAAAACATATACGTGTTTTGAGTTGACAGATCACCTCTTTTATTTCCCATTCTGTGGTACCCTGTGCGTGGAAGTAAGAGCAGCAGTTTGTTAAAAATATCGATTGAGGGGCGCCTGGGTGGCTCTGTCGGTTGAGCGTCTGACTTGGGCCCAGGTCATGATCTCGCGGTCCGTGTGTTCGAGCCCCACATCAGGCTCTGTGCTGACAGCTCGGAGCCCTGAGCCTGTTTCAGATTCTGTGTCTCCCTCTCTCTCTGACCCTTCCCTGTTCATGCTCTGTCTCTCTCTGTCTCAAAAATAAATAAACATTAAAAAAAAAAATTTTTTTTTTTAAAATATTGATTGAAAGAATGAAAGTCAAGAAAAAGAGGAAATGCCTTCAAGGAGTCAGAGACGGTTGAATGAGCGTAACGAGGTGCTGATTTTTTCCCCCCTCAAGACTCCTCCGAGTTCATTTCCCATGGAACGCTGATCATCTGTCCTGCTTCCCTGATCCATCATTGGAAGAACGAGGTGATGAAACGTGTGGGCAGCAACACACTAAGAGTCTGTCTCTATCATGGGCCCAATCGGGAACAACGTGCAAAAGTGTAAGTGTGGAAATACGGCGGTTGGTGTGAGCCCTCGGCATCTTGGCTGAAGGGGCCTGTTGGCCTTCCCCGCTCTCCCTGGGCTTTCATTTAATCAGGGCTGATGATTTGTGAAGACCAAGGGCACTGTTGTCAACCCAGCATCCTTCACCTGTGAGAAGAGATGCAGCTTGTAAGAGAATGGTGTTCTTTTGCTGTATCCTTGTCCCTGTCCTCAACAGGAGCTGCCATATGAGGTAGCCTGAGGTGTCTGAGTTGTCAGCCAGGGAGCAGCAGCATTTCCTCTGGAACAACAGGATCTGCCACAGTCACTCATCATTGTTGAATATCTGAGTCCAGCTTCACGTTCTTCTTCTGTTCGTGCACATGCAGCCAGCCCAGTCAACCCAGTCTTACAGAGCATTCTGATAGACTGTTAAGGATTGTGTGATACAGACTGGTGCTCTTTTTCACATATGAACCATCTAAGAAGTTTTAGACTCAAGGGTTAAGGGTGAGACCTAACCAAATTCCTGAAGGGAGATGATCAGGAAGGAGAAATGAAAATCCTTCCCCATAGGGTCATTTTAGTCCTAATCTTTGCTTTTCAAGGAATTATTTTTTGGTAAGATTTTATTTTTAAGTAATCTCTACATCCAACGTGGGGCTTGAATTTACAACCCCAAGGTCAAGAGTCACATGCTCCACCGACCGAGCCAGCCAGGAGCCTCTAAAGGAATTGTTTTTTGTTCCTAATTGTGATGTGATGGTGTGGGTTGAATACTTGCTATCTAGTCACGAACAGAGTTGTTTCTGCTTCCGAATAATCTCCCCAACCTCTAATACTAGAAATTTGACCTCCTAAAGAACAGTGAGTTGCACAATTGGGGGCCTTCAGTCTTACAATACACCTACTCTCAGGAGTGAGGGTCGCCTCAGCAGATGAAAAGTATCAGGGCAGCAGTGACAGGCCTGTGTGCCTTCTCCAGCAGAGTGCTGTCAGTGGCCTTTGTTCCAGATATTTATTAGAAATAAATTACACCTCACTTGATTTGCACTTTGAGCATATCTGGTTTGGTGTTCCGAATGCGCTAGTTGACAGTTTGGAATCATTCTTAATTCTTCTTCTCTGTGTGAGACTAAGGCAATGTGTAGACTGCACTCCCTCTGAATTAGGCATATCATTTTTATCAGAAGCATTTATGGACATTCGCCTAGGTGCACAATATTACGTTTCGTTGGAAAAAAGATTTGTACCTTTTGTTAAGAATCTTTACGTTTAGAGTACAGGAGAGGTAAACTCCAAGCTTACAGCATGTATTTTTGTACCCAAATGTCAAAGCTGGGTTAATGGGTTTTCAGAAATCCGTTATAGAATCATAAGATGAAAGATCAGCTATAGATGAACAATGCTTTGAGAGTTTCTTACCTCCCTGAGACTTCAGTGTCAGTCTAGGTCAAATCATTACTAAATGTTAATTCTCAATCCTACGCTGTTTCTGTTATTGCCAGATTGTATCAAGCTTAAGATGATGCCAGCCAGAGGTTTTTCTTTCTGACTCGTGGGATGGGAACAGGGAGGCTGTTTAGTAATAGTGAGCAGGCTATAAAAATGATCGGATGTCAGAGCTAAGGAAGCCTAGTGAGTAAAGTTTACCCCTCCCAAACCATGTGTGTGTGGATTACGGACATGAGTTAACGAATTCTGCTGACTGTCCTTGCAGCCGCTTGCATTTTTTATAAACGGGTCATCCCCACCTGTTTTGTCAGTCACGGATTGTTTACTGCTCACTCTGTGTTATATCTGTGCAGATTGTCTACATATGACATCGTGATCACTACCTATAACCTTCTGACCAAGGAGATTCCCACACAGAAACAAGAGGGAGTGATCCCGGGTGCAAACCCCAGCGCGGAGAAGGTGAGTCTGGGAGCCACCAGGGAAACTGGAGCCACACCTCACTTAACCGGAGTCTTTCCGCAGCATCAGAGTAAGGAAAGGTACCTTCCTGGGAGGGCAGGAATGGCCTAAACATTCCACCTGCGGAAACAAAGAGTTCTTTCCTCTGTTCCTTCTCTTTTATTTTAGACAAACTCATCAGTAGTAAAGGTTGAGGTTTGGCACAGTATTTAGTTGCTTTCTTGAACTAATAATGGTAACTACATTATAGTTGTAATGGTACTCATCACATGAATATGGGAAGCCCCACTTGCAATTTTTAGAGTCTTCGGAGTATATACTCTTAGGGTGTGTGTGTGTGTGTGTGTGTGTGTGTGTGTGTGTGTGTGTGTGTGTGTGTGTGTGTGTGTGTAAATACACACACACACACACACATTTAAAAAAATTTTTTTTTAACATTTATTTATTATTGAGAGACAGAGAATGAGCAGGGGAGGAGCCGAGAGACGGGAGACACAGAATGTGAAGCAGGCTCCAGGCTCTAAGCTGTCAGCACAGAGCCCGACGTGGGGCTCAAACTCACCAACTGTGAGACCACGACCTGAGCCGAAGTCGGACGCTCAACTGACTGAGCCACCCAGGTGTCCCGATATATTTTTTTTTCTTTAAGTAGGCTTCACATCCAGTGCGGAGCTGAATGTGGGGCTTGAACTCACGACCCTGAGACCAAGACCCGAGCTGAGATCAAGAGTTGGGTGCTTGGGGCATCTGGGTGGCTCAGTCAGTTAAGTGTCCAACTTTGGCTCAGGTCATGATCTTGTGGTTTCGGGGTCAAGCCCCACATCAGGCTCTGTGCAGCTCAGAGCCTGGAGCTGCTTTGGATTCTGTCTCCCTCTTTCTCTGCCCCTCCCCCACTCACGCTCTTTCTCTGTCTCAAAAATAAATAAACAGTAAAAAAAAAATTTGTTTTAAAGAGTCAGACACTTAACCGACAGCCACCCAAGCACCCTGGGGTATTTTTTATATTCATTGTGAAGACCAGTATTTTAGTACAAGTATTTTTGTATTAAGCCATTAACAACTGCCTCTCCACCTCCCAGGAAAAGAGGTTGCAAATAATAAGGCTACAAAAGGGCCAGAAGCTAAACAATAACCAGACAAAAAACCCTGAATGTTTGCTAGGACGGCCAAGTAGTCCCAGTTATACAGCACAGAGGCTTTATTGCGTCGTTACCGTGGGGTTTTTTTTCTCCTGAAAATACTGTGCTGTTCCAAGAACTAACCTAGCCATATTCGGGCTAATCTCTAGAATGCTTCTCCAGTCAGAACAACTCTTGACTTCTTGCTGATAATTAATGTTTGAGGTTCTCCAGCGGCTCCTCGTTGCTTTCAGGATCAAACCGTAGTCCTGTTGCAGGACGCGGTAGACCTTGTAGGAACTTGAACTTGCACGTCCCTCGTCTCCCACCCCCTGCGCCTCATGCTCACTTGTACCAAGGGGCGGACACCTGCCCTGCGCTGTCATGCTGTTCTCCCTCCGAGTGGAACGCTTTGCCTCTGTTCCTTTTCTAGGTTAGTTAGTTAGTTATACCTGCTTTGAGAGTTCTTTAATCCTCTGGTTAAATGCCTCTCCTAGACCTTGTGCTTACTTACGTCATAGCACTCTTCACATTCAGCGAACGTTAAGGATCTACTATGTGCTAGATGGTGTTTCAGGTATTAGGGATGTAGCAGTGAGCCGGACTGAGTAGATTTTTCCAGCGTGTATTGAATTACCCAGCGGGACTTAATATATAAACATCATGCTAATCTGGATGCCTGATTTTCTTCCCTGCCAAATTGTGAGCTCCTTGAGGCTAGGAACTGTCCTTTAAGTCTGATTTCATATCTTAAACATAAAAGTAGACCCATCAGTACAGTTCTAGTGAATTTTTATAAATCTGGTCAATATGTTATTGAGTGAGTGAATTTCCAGGCTTGACACCTAGTGTAGTCCTGACCCATGACCATTGCTCAGAAGTGGGTAGAAAGGATAAAATGAACTTAAGTTAAAACATTCTACTACTAAGCATCTTAAACTGAAAGTTGGGGGCTCTCAAGTTGACTTGTTTATTTCTGCCCATTAAGAGTTTCCACTTTTGGTTTCTTCAGCTCAATTCTTATTTCAGTATACCTGATTTAAGCCCTCAAACTTGAAGGTAAGAATGGATCCTCCATACTTTTTCATATTTTCCCTTACCTTCTTGAAGACATGTACATTCTCCCATACAGTTGATGGATTTCACTTGGGTTTCTTCCAGGATATAGCAAAAACACCTTTGCTTCGAATAGTCTGGGCTCGAATCATATTGGATGAAGCTCACTGTGTTAGGAACCCCCGAGTGCAGACTTCCACAGCTGTGTGCAAGCTAGAGGCCCACGCCCGTTGGGCTGTCACCGGAACCCCCATTCAGAACACCTTGTTGGACATGTATTCACTGCTGAAGTGAGTAAAACTCTCCAGGATTATGTCAGTGTGAACCGTGTCAATAACCCTTCATACTTGTTTCATATCTCATGATAAAGTTCCAGAGTGTGCCAGATTATCTCGGATAGCAGACGGCAAACCTGACAACCTTTAAAGGACAAAAGAATTAATATCCATGAGAAGATAACCAGTTGATTGATTGGCAGGTACAAGACTTTGATGACATCCAGCCCCTGTGTGTGAAAAAATACAGGACGGATTAAAATGAAAGGAAACAAAACCCTCTTTCTTCAGTCCGGTGAATGTTCTGGGCTTTTTCCACTTTAAAGCATATGTCCTAGGGTCAGGCCTACTATTTTATTCGACGCAAACAGAAAAGAATGCTGATTTTAAAGTACTTGCTTTAATTCAAGTCCGCCTGCAAGAGGATAGGGAATTTCTCTGTCAACCTTTGAAGCTTTAGGAATAAATTCTATCTACTGATTGCGTGTTTTGCTGTAGCAATACGGACAATGTTAATGGGAAAATTCACATTTTATAATGTGGCTTTATTACTGACTTGGATCCTTTTGATATGTCTGGCAGAGCTTTGCTATGAAATTCACTGTTAAAAATGATTGACAGATGTAACAGAAAATCTGATTTGTTTCTCATCTTTTCTTTTTTAACGTTTTATTTTTTTATTTTTGAGACAGAGAGAGATAGAGCATGAACGGGGTAGGGTCAGAGAAGAGGGAGACACAGAATCTGAAACAGGCTCCAGGCTCTGAGCTGTCAGCACAGAGCCCGATGCAGGGCTCGAACTCATGGACCGTGAGATCATGACCTGAGCTGAAGTCAGACGCTTAACCGACTGAACCACTCAGGCGCCCCTGATTTGTTTCTCATCTTAATGTGTTTCCTTGGACCCTTTTCTCCTCCTTGAACTATCCTTCAATACTTCCTTCCTACTCTCTGTCTTCTTCCCCAACAAAAACAGATTTCTCCGTTGCTCACCATTTGATGATATCCGACTGTGGAAGAGCCAGGTTGACAATGGTTCAAAGAAAGGAGGAGAACGGTTAAGTATTTTAACCAAGAGCCTTTTGCTGAGGAGAACAAAAGACCAGCTGGACCCCACCGGCAAGCCCTTGGTAATCTTACTTTCACGCGTCCCTGGGCGAGGCCAGGGAAGGGGGGTATCCGTATCCCTGCCTTGGCTTGACCAGCCATCTGCTTTGCTCCTGGGGGTCTCTGAGTGTCCCGTCTTCCTGTGAGGGGGCCCCGCAGCAGTCCTGATTTAGGACAGGGGGAAGTGCTGGCCAGGCTTTGGCTAGGTTTCCAGTGTCCACGGTGGGGATTTACTCTCTAATGCTCAGGTCATTTGTCTGACTTCACCGGCTGCTTTCTCCTCCTCCAGGTGATGCTGCCCCAGCGGAAATTTCAGGTGCACCGATTAAAGCTCTCTGAAGAGGAAGAGAATGTGTACAGTGTCCTTTTGGCAAGATCCAGGTGTGTGCAGTGAGGAAGCACCTCACATTTGTTGTTGTGTTATTCCTGTCCCTGCTTGGGAGTGAGTCCAGGCTTGAGGAATACAGGATTCCTCAAACTGCATTTATGCTATTATCGATGAGTTTGGATATCTGTGTTCCTCCTGTTTGTTTTTTCTCCCTTTTTCTCTCACCACCCACTCCCCGACTCCCCTCTGTCTCATATACACACTATGTTCTTCATAGGCACTAGAAGCCTATGCAAGGGCTTCTTCCTTGCATAGAAGCCCTACAGTGTGGTCACTGTACATCAGTTCTATCTGGTCCTATGGGGCCGTATTGGGAAAGAACATCCCTTTGACCTTTGACCTGTTACTCAGCATCTGGTTGGACTTAAACAAAGAAACTGCTCTGTAATCCTTGTCATCTCTTCTTTATGCTGTCTCTAAAACTCTTGTCCTTCCCTAAATTCCAGATTTACTCTCTCCCCCTGGGTACCTCTCACTTCCAGTGTGGATATGTTTTTTTCTTTGTAAACTCATGTAGTATTATAGTATTTATTAATAAACATAAACTAATACTAATTAATGTTATTTACATTAATGTGTTGTAAGTTAGTAGTTAAGTTATCATTAAACATAATGTTCTATAATATTAATGTGTTTATTAACCCTTATCAATCATTTAAAAAATGATTTGGCTTTTAAAATAATTAGTTTTCATTACCTTTGGCCAGTACTTGCCATGAGCCTGGCTTTGTTCTAACAGATCTCCCCTTTATAATTTTGCAGGGTCCTACCGCAAGCACAGTTAAGCAGTGACCATTGTAAATGTCTTTGGTTGTAGCAAACATTATATGTCCATTTTCTCTTTTGATCTGAGGCAGGTCAGCTCTGCAATCCTACCTCAAAGCAGGGCACGAAAGTGGAGGCAACCAGTCTGGAAGAAGCCCTGATAATCCATTCAATAAAGGTAAGCAGTGGGACCCTCATAAATACATACAAGAAATGAAAATGTGGATTTAGAGATGGGACATTATGAATCCTTTTTTTTTCCTTTTTTTTAAATGTTCATTTATTTTTGAGAGAGAGACAGTGGGAGCGAGGGAGGGGCAGAGAGAGAGAGACACAGAATCCAAAGCAGGCTCCAGGCTCCGAGCTGTCAGCACAGAGCCCGATGAGAGGCTCGAACCCACGAACCGCAAGCTTGTGACCTGAGCCGAAGTCAGACCCTTAACCGACTAAGCCCCCAGGCGCCACTATGAATTCTTGATCTGAGAGAGTCGATCTTAGCTAGGAACCTCAAACCAAGCCAACCCAAGCTGATCTCCATGCACCAGGCCTGGTGATGTAAACTTCTTTTCAGTTACTTTTGAAATCCGCTTTATTAAAATGCAAGTAGGTCTGCAAAGAAAACCCATGTTTCATTTGGCTTAATTGGTAGGGAAGTCAGTTACAGCTGTGTTACCGAATCTCAGATCAGAGAAGTTCACAATGGCCTCCTTGAGTTGGCGATTCCTCCCCATATTTGTGCTTTAAATCCTGCACTGTTTCTTGTGGTTTGTTTTCCTTTGTGGAAGTGGCTCGGGAGTTTGGGTCCGGCGGGCCTGGAGCCTCTGTGGCCGCGGACTCACAGCGGTCTGGCACCCCCCACGTACTGTTGACACAGCTGCTGAGACTCCGCCAATGTTGCTGTCACCTTTCTCTGCTGACGTCGGTAAGAAAAGCCCTTTGCGTGCATCTCCAGAGTGGCTGCCAGAGAAGTCCATTTCTTCTGTTCCGGGGTCCAGCCGCTGGATCAAGGGAAATGGCGTTTTGGGGTGCTTCTGGGTTTTGGTGGGGCAGAAAAGAGAAGTCTTACTTATTTTACTTTTCACTGATTTTGAGATAATTCCCCTAGTATTGAGAACAGGTTTTTTGTTGTTGTTTTTTTTTTTTTTAAGTTTATTTATTTTGACCGCACAAACAGGGGAGGGGCAGAGAGAGAGAACACCCCAAGCAGGCTCTGCACTGTCAGTGCCGCGCATGGCACGGGGCTCAAACTCACGAACCCAGAGATCACAACCTGAGCCCAAATCAAGAGTCGGGCACTTAACTGACCGAGCCACCCAGGTGCCCCGTGAGACAGCTTTTACTGTTCTTTTTGTAAATGAACTTTATTTTAGAATGGAAAATGTCATTTTGTGAAAACCATCCATGAATACTTTGGTATTTGAGGATGCCATAAAGCCAATTTAGCTACTAGTCTTTTCTGCCTTCTGGTGGTATTGGGGCTTTTAAGGCTAGTTGTGAAAACTCGAGTATTTATATAATTGGAAAAGTGGCCCTCACATCTGATAGAGGCACGTCCATAATTAAGATGAGTGTTATTCTTTCTGAGGAGCTGTAGTAATGTGTTTTGATGACAACAGCTTAATTAACTGTACTGCTTCCGCTGGGGAAAAGAGAATGGTCATGGAATCTGGCATTTCTCTGAGAAGTGCCATCATTTGATTCATGTTTAATCTGGTGAACAAACTTGCCAGAGTACATTCTGGGCAGGGTTTCTCTGAGGAGACGCTGATGATGAATTAGAAGACAGTTGGCTGTGTGAAATGTTAGATGGTCATCACTGCCTTGGCAAAAAACCTGTCTCGCTGCCTCGACTATGCACCACCAGTTCCCGTCTCCTGTATTCTTCTCAGGCCCTGGACCCGGCAGAACTGAAAAGCGAGGGCCTGGTCCTTTCTCTGGAAGAGCAGCTCAGTGCCTTGACGTTGTCCGAACTCTGTGACGCGGAACCTTCTCCCATCATTTCCCTTAATGGTGAATGTTTCAAGGCGGAGATCTTTGAGAACACAAGAGCAAGCAGCAAGGTACTTTGGTCACCTCTGTTCTGGTAGAGAAACTGGGATTCCTCGCGCAGGTTCGTGTGTGCGAGGGGCACGTTGGTCCACACACGTACAGCTCTTGCATTTCAGGGGTAGAACTGTTAGATTTTAGCTAGTGTGGCTCTGCCTCCAGTCTTAAATTCTGACTCTATTTCACGAGTAAAACTAGGCTTTCAGAGGGTGACCTGGGCCAGCTGCAGCAGCAAGGCAGATTTTTGGTCACGGATCGTGGGAAGGCTGCCTCTCAGGTTTACGCCAGTGGCGGGGCCTAAGTGAGCCAACAGTTTGTTTCGGGAAAGCTTTAAGGGACAACCACAAAGGGTTGACCCTGGAGACTGCTGTAATCCATCTGAGCGCCAGTTGCTTGGGCTTGCTGAAAGGCATCCGTCTTGTGAGTGTTATTTCCTAAATAGCCTTCTATCTTGGTTAATCGTTTTTGTTCCGTTTTCATGAAAGCTTCCTAAGGCTGAAGCATTCCGGTAGAGGGAGGCTGAGGTGTGCTGTAACCTGAGTCCTGCCTTTCTGCTGGCTGGCTTGGGGCATCCGCCATGAGGCTGTGCACCCTGAGAGTGGAGCGAGTCTCCCTCGCGGCTGCTGTCGAAGCTGCCATTCCCAGCCTCGGCCTCTTTTCCAAGGCTTTAAAAATAATAATAGTTTTATATATATGCATATATGTATATATGTACGTATGTATGTATGTATATATACACATACATATATATATATAACTTAAAATAAATAAATATATATATATGTATATATATGTATATATATAACTAGAAATGAGGTCACTGCCAAGGGAATGGTGTTACTTAAGAACTATTTAAAAAAAATTTTTTTTTAATTTTTTTTTAATTTTAAAAATTAAAAGACAATTTTTTTTTAACATTTATTTATTATTGAGAGACAGAGAAAGAC